CACACACACACAGAGAGAGAGAGAGAGAGAGAGAGAGAGAGAGAGAGAGAGAGAGAGAAGACACTATTTGTAAACAAAGACCCAATAATCCATCTCATTATTATTCTGGAGGAAAATTGTCTCTTTATGTATCCCACATGTTTATTAAAAGAACACAACAGTGAAAACTGAGATACTGAGCCAGGCATAGTGGCACATGACTACAATCCCAGCCTTTGGGAGATGGAGGCAGGAGGCCATGGAATTCAAGGTTATCTTTGGCTGTATGATAAGTTTGAGGGCAGTCTGGACTACATGAGACCCCATGTTTAAAGTAAAATAAAAATCAGTATGATTGGGATATTTCAGCGGCTCTTAGGATATCTGGAGAAATTACACAGTGACTCCACCTACATGTACTCTTCATGTGATTTCAAAACGATAGAGAAAGGCGTAGGGTTGGGGAAAGGCAGCTGCTGTGTCACAGTCTTACCTGGGCACATAATCTTGTTTAGTCCCATCTGACAAGCCCATGAGATTTGTTGAGGGTTGAATGCATTCCCCAAAATCCATTTTAAAGCCTGAATCCCTATGACCTAATGAAGTAATTAAGTTAAATGGAGGCCACTGGAGGAGGGATATAATCTAACCTGCCTTGTGTCTGTCATAAAGAAAATTTAAGCATGGAAGGGGACTAAGGATGTGCAAGCCCACGGAAAAAACCACGTGGGGACACAGTGAGATGACTGAATCTTCTCAAGGCCACCAAGGAGACAGGCTACAGAAGAAGTAAACCTTGCCAATATCTTGATCTCAGACCTCCAGCCTTTAGCACTGTGAGAAAATTAATTCCTGTTGTTTTAGTGAGACAAAAACCTAGCAGATTAACAGTAATAATTATTGCTGCTATAATTTTACAAAGTTAAAAAAAAATGAGGTTAAGCAGGTCAAGTATCCATGTTCCATGACTCATAAGAAATAGCATCAGAGTCAAATTCAGGGCTCCCTGGCTCTAAGCCCACATTCTTTCCCCTACAGAGTATATTACATCTAAATAATTGTCACTTTTATTCCCTGGGAAGGGAGCTCAGAAAGGAGAAATGAAAGTCTATGCTCATTACATGTGAGATAGGAGGTATAGAATCTAATCTATTAATGAAAAGTGCCTCCGCATGGAGTAGAATTAACATGATTTTTGGAATTTTAAAGCCAGCCTTCAGGACTTTTTATCTGTATAAATTTAAGTAATTACTTCACTCTTCTAAGCTGCTGGATTTTTCTTTGCTGAGATATGAAAATGTAGATCTAAACACACAACTATTATGATAATTAAAAATAGTTGAGTTAAGTAGATGCTTAATAACCATCAGCTGACATGTTCCGATGCAATCACCCAGAGAGAGGATTTGTTGGGAAGGATCATGAGGTTAGAAAAAAATCAGTAAGGCTTTTGTTATATAAGTGAGTAGCTTCTTGGAATTAATAAGGACTATTCTTTGTTTTAATGTGTGTGTGCATATATTTGCACAAGTGTGTGGGTGGGTTCACATGCACTTGTTTGTGGAGGCCAAGTGTCATCCACAAGAATGCAGTCTACTTCCTTTGAGACAGAGTGTCTCATTGGCTTAGACCTCACCAATTAGGCTACCCCCGCTGACCAGTGAGCTCCCAGCATCCTCTTGTCCTTACTGCTCAAGCACTGGGATTACAAATGCACATACTAGCATTTTTATGTGGGCTCTTAAGGCCTTATGCTTGCAAGTCAAGCATTTTACTGGATGAGTTATCTCCCCAGGCATTATAATGTTGTTTTCATTTTTTCTAACAGGTGTAACACATACTATTATGACTATGTCAAGATCTGAAGAGAGTTTGCCTTTCTCCTGCCATGGGAATTCTTTACCTGGTAGTACTGATAGAGAAACTTATAATGCTGTAAATGCAACTCAAAGGGAAAGCCAGCGCCAACACCTAGGAACTAGATCAAGAGCTCTACCTGACCAAGGTAATAAATAAACAACTTGTGGCCTCCACAGCCTCTGGACTGTCAGGCTCCTTTCTGTGTCTGAACGGGATGACATGCACCCTCCATGCAATCCCCCACTCCACTATCACATGGTCTCCAGGTGTCCCAGTCCAGGTCTGGAACTTACCACTGGAGGCAAACACACGCAGCGCCCAGAGACAGTGGAGGAGGTTGTGGCTGTGAGACAGGTTTTTCCTGGCCAGAATCAAGGTCACATCAAGTGCTTCTAATTCCAGTGCCTTCTGTCCAAACTTCTTATCTAGGAATACAAATCCATCTCTCTTAATTATGTCCGCAAATTGATTCTGAAGGTTTGGGGAGAGAAGGAAAATGATGGGGGTGGGGTGGGGGGACAATTAGAGCTAAAGACACTTTTTAACTTAATTAAGAATATTCTAAACATGCCCCCATTGGAACCAACTGAATGAAAAGAGTAAAGTCTGGATATAATTATTGACATGAAGGTTATGGGGTCTAAGAATGTAAGCCTTTGACTCTAAAGGCACTCCTGGTCATCCTCATATGTACCAATGTCTTTAAGACAAATCTGGGATAATAAAAAAAAAACCCAACGTAGCATTTTAATGCAGTGCATGAACTTTGATTGAATCCTGCTTTTTTCTTTTTCTGTTTTCTTTCCTTCCTTCTCTCTCTCTCTCTCTCTCTCTCTCTCTCTCTCTCTCTCTCTCTCTCTCTCTCTCTTTCTTTCTTGAGACAGGGTTCTTCTACATAGCCCCAGCTGTCCTGGAACTCACAATAGAGACCAGATTTTGTGGTCTCAAACTCACAAAGATCCGCCTGCCTCTGCCTCTGCCTCCACCTCTGCCTCTCAAGTTGTGTAGGGATTAAAGGCATGCCAGGCATGGATCTTACTTCTTTGATTGGATATTGTTTTAAATATGCAAAAGATAGTATGGAACTTTTAGAGAAGTTAGATCAAAGTTATTGGTAGATGGTAATAATCTTTCTATTTAACAAAGAATTTTCATAATGAAAAGTAAAAACAGATTTTAAGAAACTAAAATAAAAATTAAAATTATTTCTAAATGATTGCTCTAATGTCAAGCCATCTAGTGTTATAAGTAAACCATCATCACCATCATCATCCTCATCATCATTTCAATAGTTACAAAATAAGTGTGAAAAACACGAGGAAAGGTCCTCTTGTTTGGACTCTTTGTACCCACTATCAGGTGACTGTGTCTAGTCCCATTTGTTTGTGTCATTTCCTAAATGTGATGCCTAAATCATCATTATAAAATCCATAAAACTATATGTCTATATTTATTTCATGATTTCATTAAGCATAATGTCCTCAGGGTATATCCCATTAGGGGCTAGATTATATTCCCTTTCATATGTATATCACATTTTCTTTATCTAGCATCTATCCATGGATGTTTAAGTTATGTCTATGTCATGGTTATTGTGTATAGTATTGCAATGAACATGAGAAGGCAGAGATCTTTATAAGGTAGTCGTTTCCTTTCCTTTGGGCATATGTTCAAATTAGAGATTATAGAAATACGTGAGTCAGATGATAATTTCATAGTTTGTTTGTTTGTTTGTTTGTTTTGAGACAGGGTCTCCTGTAGCCCAGTCTGGTCTTGAACTGACTATGAACTGCTCCTGCCTTTATCTCCCAAGTGTCAGGATTCCAAGTGTGTATCACCATGCCCATGTGGTAGCTCTTTTTTTTTTTAAATTCTCTATGTCATTTGCAATAATGGCCGTCCTGATCTTCAGCACTACAATGTGTCCAAAGGTTCCCTTTCTTCACATCCTCACCAGCATTTGCTCTCCATTGTCCTGTTGACAAGGCATCCCCACCAGCATGAGGGCCAGGAGCACACACAGTGGAGACTGGAAGAGGGCTTCCCACTGACTTTGGAGACTGAGCAGAGGAAGCAGGGAAGGAGGAAAGGTCACAAGACACAATACAGCAAATTTGACTCAGAATAAACAAATCGGGAGCTCTTGTGTTCCACGTGAAGATCAAGCTAACAAAACGAAAACAGCTGTGTGTAGCTGCACATAAACCTGCAGCCCCAGCACTATGGGGGCAATAGCAAGGGGATCCCAGCAGCTCATTGACAAACAAATCTAACAGAGTGAGTGCTGGGTTCAATGAAAGACTCTGTCTCAAAAAAAAAAAAAAAAAAGGTAAGAAATTAAGAAATTGAAAAAGGTACCCAACCTCACCTCCTAGTTTCTACATGTACATACATGTGAATACATAGACACATACATTTAACACACATACAAAAGAACAGCAACTCAGGAACCACTACCTTGGTGTGTCTCTTATCACTTGACTGTTAGTCTCTGGCCCCATATGTTAAGGATGTGACCTAATAACTCATTTATTCTTCCTAGGAAATCTAGAATTAAATTCTATGCTTCCATTTTAGGCATAAGGGCACCATGGTTCATAAACCTTAAGTAACTTGACCAGGGTCAAACGTCTAGTAAGTATCAGGGACAGACTTGAAACCAGCCTGCACTGTGTGACTGGGGGACAGATCAGGTCTCTACTGTCTTTTCTTAGAGTTCACTTGGCCCACTCAGCTTTGCTGACTTTCCCCTGTTCTTCAAGTTTCAGCTCAAATGTCACTCTCCCTGACCATGCCATCCTAGGGTAGCATCCATCTTTCTCTTCCTTGAGGCACTCATCACGGTCTGCTAACATCCGGTTAATTATTTGCTGACCAGCTGGCCTGCCCCACTTGGAACAGAAGATGTTTGTGGTGTGTGGAACTGTGCATGAATGATCACTAAATGAACGTTGCTAGTTATGTTGGGACATATTCGTGCAGGTGCTAGCTAACGCCTGTTTCTCAGTCCATCTGTAGAATGCCAATGAACTGGAAGTAGAGATCTAAACATTGAAAGAGTGTGCTGGAGCCTTTGGTTTTGGCTGCTGTCAGTGAACATCAAAGGGACCTGAGCTTCTCAATTGTGACCGTCACGATATTCAACATACAGTTTAAGCTTAACAGTTAAAGCGTTTTTGCAAAGTATGCATGAACTCTAAATGCTTAAATTATTCAACCCTGCTCCAGGAAGTTCTGGTGACCTAAGAAGGTGTTTCAGGGTCCTCTAGGAGGAAAGAGAAATACCCAGAAGCTCTCTTGCTATGTGACTTATCATAGTTGATTAAACTAACAATGTCCCCAAGCCCACCCCCAAATCCATTTCTACCCAGACATCCAAGATGCCATCTTATTTGGAAAAAGAGTTTTGTACATTGAATTAGCTAAGAAGCAATCAGACAGGACAAACGGGAACCTAAACCTTATGACTGATACCCCTGTATGGAGAGGAGAGGACACACAAAATGAACACACAGAGAATACTCTGTAAACACAAAGATAGAGAAGGAAGTGATAAATCTATAAATCAAAAGAGAGAAAGGAAGGGAGGACGAAGGTTCTGGCAGTACCAGGAGACAAGCAGAAAATAGATCCTCCCCTGTGAGAACTTGGTTTGGGACTTATGAACCCCAGAAGTATCAGAGACTATATTTATGGTGTATAATGACAAACCGCCCAGGGCAATTTGCTATGATCACTCTAAAAATTGAATGCACAAGTATGGTCAGGCTTAGTGATGCACTATCTACAATCCTAGCACTAGGGAGTTCAAGATCATCCTTTGCTATATAACGAGTGCCAGGCCAACTTGGCTACATGAGACTCTGCTTCCAAAACAAGAGAAAAAAGCTAATGTGCATATTGTACTTTCATAGGAGCTGTACTTCCCCAAACAGTATCATTTTGTGTAAGTATCTAAAATGCACTGGAATCACTCCCATCTTTTCTGACTTATGATCCAAGATTTTGCTGTCCATGACAGCTGTGACTGCAACTTCCAGGTATCATTCATTCATTTCTAAAGCAACACGTTTTCTATTACCTGACATCTAGATTGTTTTTCAGTTTACCTTGCCAAGTATTATGGTGAATACCTCTGATCCCAGTATGCAGAAAGCTGAGGCAGAAGGATTGCAATAAATCTGAGGCCACCCTGAGCAACATAGTTTGGAGCCAGACTCAAAAACACATAAGACTCTGTGCCTCAAAATAACAATAACCAAAAGTAAAATTGCCTCCCTTATAAGGCTGGCCCTGCTGTCACCAAGGCCCTTGAGACCTCCCTTCTGCCTCCCCATAAGGGCTTTCCCCAACTGCTCTCAGGAGCAACTCCAGAAGTATGTTGTTAGTCATCATTAGGTCTTGAAGTGCTATTACCTCTTAGGCCAACTTTGGCCATCAGCCTGAAGAGAGGAAGAAGGATGTCATAGTCAGGAGAAGGGGACCTTGCTGTGTCCACCAGAGTCTGCAGAAGGGCTTCACTGCCACCTTTGCTGATCATGTAGTAAATCCTCCGGTCTGTGCCTGGGAAGAAACCAGAAGAAAGATGAGCCTCCTCCCCAGAGCAGACCTCAGTGCTGTGGGATGGTCTGTATGTCAAATTACTCTGATTGGTCAAGAAGTAAAACACTGATTGGCCAGTAGCTAGGCAGGAAGTATAGGCGGGACTAACAGAGAGGAGAATTAAGGGAACAGGAAGGGAAAGGGCGTCACTGCCAGCCGCTGCCATGACAAGCAGCATGTGAAGACGCTGGTAAGCCACGAGCCACGTGGCAAGGTATAGATTTATAGAAATGGATTAATTTAAGCTGTAAGAACAGTTAGCAAGAAGCCTGCCATGGCCATACAGTTTGTAAGCAATATAAGTCTCTGTGTTTACTTGGTTGGGTCTGAACAGCTGTGGGACTGGCGGGTGACAAAGATTTGTCCTGACTGTGGGCAAGGCAGGAAAACTCTAGTTACACATCAGCTCTCACAGCCAGAGACAAAGCAAAGGTTTGTTCATTTCACCACAGAAACACAGACTGGTAGATTCATGACATGACTCATCTTCGAGGTGTGCTAGCATCTGAAGGGAGAGAGGTGAGAAATATAGTAGTTGTGAAATAGTTAGAGATTTTAATTTATTCACCTTCCACAGATATGATAAATTGAGTGATATTATAAGTTCTGGGAACCTGTGAACTCTTCATTGATGTGTACACATGTATGTAGATGTATATAAATAGACATGCAAGTATCATATATAATATGTATATATGATGTACATCATCATATAGTAAACATTCTTCCGCAAAAATAACTTGGATCATTAGTAACAGGAAAGGGGTGGTATCTTATCTGGAATAATTTTGTTGATGGTGTAATGGTTTCCTAATTCTGCTCTTTAGCAACTAGTAGAAAGGAATTATAGGAAACATTGTAGGAACCCCTTAAGAAACAAAATGCCCAGGCACACCATCTGATGACTCCCGATCAGAGTCCTGAGCAACGGGGAAGTATTTGTCTTTCTACCAAAGAATAGATTTAAATAAGACCTCTCTCACTTTACCCAAGGACACCTCAAAAGTAGTGATTACACATTAACATGAAAAAGGCCCTGTGTGGCCTAATCAAGGTAGCCAACAAGGTATAATTATATCAATGGAGAAATTTTGATTTTCCCAGAATTGTCTACCCAACAAAAGGAAGAAATAAAGGCGGGAAGGAAGAAGGGAGAAGAGAACCACATGTAGCCACAAGTGGTGGTGCAAACTTGTAATCCCAGCACATAGAAGTTTTAGGCAGGAGGATTGCTAGTTCCAGGGCAGCCTGAACTATAGAGTGAGACCTTGGCTTAAGAAAAAAAAATCATCCATAATGGAAAAAAATTTCCAAGGCTTCATTCTAAACATTTTTACACTCCTCCTGAAGACAGTTTTATCTCAGGAGAGGAGTGATGACCTGTAAAAAGGGAACTCATTCAAAAACCAAACAAACAAACAACAAAACTACAGGGAAGTGGCCCTGCCACCAGAGGACACAAAAGCTGTTTTATTAAAAAAGGCCACAGTGTGATGGGACCCTTGAGACTTTATCTCTGTCTGGCATGTCATTCATCCTTAATGTGCCTGTTTGTGCTAATATTTCTTGATCCAGTTAACCCAGATGACTCCTAGATACTCAATCCTGTCATTGCATTTCTGAAAATGTAAACAGCTTCCTAACTTATGAAATTCCCCTGCCTCGTAGTCCTATCCCCACATGATATATGTAAGAAGGCTGCAGTACCTGGTTCCTCCAGTGAGCCACAGAGGAAGGGAGCCTAGGAAGGTGATGGATGTAGCTGCTGAGGAGCCCTCCCAGATGTAGACATTTGGCTTTATAGAGGGGGAAATATAGCATAACCACCCAACATCTCACTGCCTCCTGAGCCTGGGCATTGTAAAGTAAGTGACAAGACTGAAAAGCCTAAGTGTAATTACCCCAGTCTACACATGTCTTACCACATCACATCAAAGGGAAAATATGGGCCTCTGGTTCTCTCTTCCGCAGGAAAGTTAAGTTACAAATATTCCCAGCTCCACAGTTTCCTGGGACAGACCACAGCCAGCACTGTCCCCAATCCACAATATGATTTGATGTGGCCACAGTCTACTCACCAACAGAAAGCAGATCACTGAGGACCTGGAGGATGGCCAGGATTGATGCTTTGTCAGAGGAGTTCTGCAATGATAACACAGACAAATAGCTTGACAATGAACTCAAGAGGACAGAAGTAGCCTGGTTAGAGATGCAAAGAATAGGCAGTTACGCTTTGCTGCACAGAGAAAAACCCACAAAGTGAAAGAAGAGACAAGGGAGCTCTCCTTAAGTAGCAACCAGTGCACTCACTGAGACAGGGGCTGCAGAGGCTGTGCCTAGATAGTATTGAAGACCCCTCCTTGGGGACCAGTTTAATAATAGCATCATCGAGGTACACACAAACACACGTATTAATGAGTGACCCTGAGACAACAAACTAAAGGGGTTTTGTGGGCCTCAGTCCCAAGAACATCATGTATTTAGGTAACGTTGGATTATTTTTAGTGGTGATCACAGAAAGCAACCGAAGTCATCTCAATGTTCTGATGCAAATACTGCCTTGTCAAACAAAGACAAACTTTGATTTTCTGAAGAAAAGGGCAGAGTAGTAGCAGATCCTATTGTGAAGATTATCTTAGAAATCCTTGTAAGTCCTGACACTGTCACTTTTTTATTTTTAGAAGAAAAGTCTTTATTCAGAAGGTGGAAGAATATGCAGAATTCTCTGGGGTAACCTATATCTTAGTTCCAGAAATACAACCCACTCCACATTCCCACTGTAAGATTAAGGGGGTGGTCATTTTTGTCTTTGTTTATTTGGGTAGGCGTGCCATTTACAATAAAGTCTTAACATTCCCACAAGAAGTCTTGTGCTTCTTATTGGCTTCAAAGACCTCAATAACTCTCTGCTATACACAGGACAAAGGCAGGAAACCAAAATTTTTTATGATCTCCTGCTACTATCTCCAACTTCATCATTAATTTTAATATTCTTGTCCAAAACAGATATTTTCCATGGTATGGAAACTTGTAGATTCCTGCCCAAGCAATGTTACAGCTTGGTCTACAAGTTCAACCATACTGATTCCTCTTCTGGCAGCTCTTTTCCTGTCTTTCAGCCTGGTCAATGCTAGCTTATCCTTCCAGTGCATGGTGGTCCCTGGGATATCGCCACCCTTCCTTCCCACAAACCATTTCTGGGATACCTTCTGCCTCTCCATCACCTAGCTTTCAGTTTTTGACAGAGCATTCACTGGATAGTACTGACATTGATGTATAGTCTTTTGTTTCCTATCCCACCTCCACTAGGTACCAGAACCTTTAGCAAACAGCACCTGGAAGTGGGGTTGCCTCAGAGAAAATATGAAATAAACATTTCTAATAGAATCCAGAAGAACATCAGGGGATTCACAAAGTCCACCACCACCCAATACATTCCAGAAAGTCATACTTCACAACACCTAACAGGGCTACATACTCCAGCATAAAATTCCAGAGGAACTAAGGTAGCTATCTTGATACTATATTTTTACAAATCAAAACTAATGAAAAAAATCATGATGAACAAAATATCAAACCTGAATTTACTAACTCCTTTTCCAGGTATACGAGGCCTCTGGGGTCCCCCAGTACTTGATATGTAGACCTATCAGGAAAAACACTAGGTATACTCTGGCATCTGTTCTGAGAGCTTTGGCCTAAAAGAGTCATGTGGCCCTCATCATATTAATAGAAGGTATCACACTCCCAAATTTCAAGTCCATGTGACCCTTTGGCAACTGACAATTATGCATACACACAATGTCAGTGTCCTCCTCTACTCAAAACTGGAAACAAGAACTATTGATCTTTTCTGACATAGACCTATCATTTGGGGGTTGCAGAACTCCAGACATTTGCAAGTAGACCCAAAGATTATTTGCAGTAGAATAAAAACATGTTTATGGGGTTCTTTCTCTGAATAATATTGACATTTATAGGTCAACCTCAATCACATCCTCTCTTTCTGTGAAGAAAGGAGATATAAGCGTTTTGTGATACTATACAAGTGCTTTATAACTTAAAATGCTAGAGTCATTACGTGATTACAAGGAAAAGGAAAACAAAAGAGGAAATGAAGAGGTGAGAAAAGAGAGAGAGAAAAACTAATAAGGTAGAAGCTGATGGAAGGGGAATAAAGGTCCAACTTTGATTTCCTTCTGTTCAATTATTCATGCATTCATCCCACAGACATCCATTGGATGTCATCTGTGTTCTAGTCACCGACTAGGCAGTGAGGATACATATTGATCAAAACACAATCTGCCATCACAGGCTCCAGGCCTGGCTGAGATAACAGCTGGCAGACAGTCAGACCTGGGGATGCTAAGGCCTGTGGCAAAGGTAAACACTGGTGCTGGGAGAATCAAGGGAAGGGACATTTAACCCAGCCGTGTCCATGACTGAAAAGTCAAAGCAACCAAGTAAAGAGAGGACAGTGGGACATTCTAGTCACACTGTAGCCTCTTATTAACCCAGAGGGAAGTACGGCAGCATGGTGACGTTGGTGTGTGAATCTGCATTCTGTATGACCAAGTGAACAGAGCAGATGGTGCGGGCAATTTAAAATGCTTTGTGGGTGAAAGCTAGGTCTTACTTGTCTCTGTATTCCTATCTCCTGAGGTGTAATAGGCAATCCGTATGTTTTATTGAATTAATTTCTCCAGCTAAAGAATTGCCTACTTTGTTACAGGGCCCACTAATGCTCCCTCAGAACATCCTTGTCTTGCATGTTCCTATTGTATTTTCCGGCAGGGATATAGCTGGCCATGTGTTATATATTAAATCACCAGCCCCAAGTTACTTTGACCTGTGGCCAAAAATACGGGCTTCACACAAATCAGCCATCCCTCTGTAGTTCCTTCCATGAAAAGCTTGTCTGTGACTAGAGAGATACCATGTTGGTTAAGAGTACTGCACGCTCTTACAGGGAACCAGGTTTGATTCCCAGCACCCACACAGTGGCTCATGACCATCCATAATTCTAGTTCCAGGGAGTCTGGTGCCCTCTTATGGTCTCCATGGGCACTGTATTATGAGGTGCACATACATTTATGCAGACAAAACACCCATACACATAAAAATAAATAAGTAGTTTTATTTATTTATTTATTTTGCTTCAAAGGAGCAATCTAGCACTGATAGAGGATGCTGGTCCCTCTCTCCAGCCTAGAGAAGGAACCTGGTCAATTCTTTGAAACTTTTCTGGAGTTAGCATGACTAGTTTAGAAGTGGATATAATCCTGGTTCTGAGAAAAAAAAAAAAAACCTGAGTGGAAGTCTGCTGGAAAATTGTGAAAAGGATTTTATGCAGAGAAAATTCCTATTTTGAATGTTGTTGTATGAAGACATCATCTTGAGTCCTAGGTGACATTGTTAAGCCACCAAGTCCACCTATGTGGACTTTCAGATAAGAAATATAACAAATACCCTCACTTATAAAAAGTCTCTTAAGGTTGGAGAGTTTGCTACTGAATTCAGTTGTGACTTTTAAAGAAAAAAAATTTATACCTCTATGCGCCCTCTTCCCAAGCCTAGTGATCTTAATAGAAAAGAAATTGATTTTACGGACATGCTTTAGGTCCATCCAGAGAACCCTGATATGACAAAGAAACAAAGAAGACAATTTCCTCCTACAGATGTTGAGCTCACTACTTTCTCACTCAATGCTCAGCCAGAATACATCAGTGTTGTTTTTCTTTAAGTAAAAATTATGGCTATGAGTGGAGGAAAAAAAATGTCCCTCAAAATCTCAACTGCCATTAATTTATGCATTGCTATATTTACCAATAAATATTTTACACTATTTAGAAGAATAGCACAAGCCGTTATCTCACCCACAGTAATAATAAATGAGCAATTAAAGAAGGCAGGATGTGATGTGCCTTGATTTTCCTTTAATGATTCCTTTTAAATGAATCACTGAGTAATCCCCTGTCGGTTAAGACTTTCCAATAAAAAATGGATCTGCCAAGCTTTCAGGGTGAGACAAACCGATGAAAGAACAAACAGTGTCTTTCAGGGACTGCAGTTTTGAATTGCAATTTTCTCATAGACTTGTTTTGAATTGGTTGCTTCCTTGTCTTCAAATTATCTGTCTCCCTCTTGCCTTCCTCCTCCTGTCTCAGTATCATGGTATGAAAATAAGACCCTTCATATGCTGTGGGATGTTCTGTATGTCCTGTGGGAGCCCATTCTCAGGTTCTTTGTGGCGTTACCCAGCAGGTCCGTATAGAGGATGATTAGGACCATGTTCCTGAGTGCAGGTGTTTGAGATGGTCTGCACTTGGCTGTGCTGGGGGATGGTCTGTATGTCAAGTTGCTCTGATTGGTTAATAAATAAAACCTGAT